GAGATTTTGATGTAATCTTAGTATGGATTAGCTTGCTTCACACCATGCACATGTAGATTGTTTTAGTAAAGAAGTAGTGTTTAAGATTCTACACGAAGAGTCCTTCACTATCTCCATCGAAAGAAAAATGGGTCACACTGTATAAAAAAAAAAGAATTTATTAAATAAAGCTTGCTGGCTAAATGTAATAAGAAGCAGTTTGCCGATACTTTAGGTTGCATGAGATATTAACAGTGTTATGATAGTGGTGTGGAGCATTTTTGAATGTATATTAGACAGTAATATTTTTACTAGTGTGTTTGGTAGGTCATGAGAGTAAGGGACTCATGCTGCAGGAGATACCAGTGGTACGAGATTTCCTTGATGTGTTTCCAGAGGATCTTTCGGGACTACCACCGGACCCAAAGGTAGAGTTCACCATAGAGTTACAACAGGGAACACAACCCATTTCAAAGGCGACATACAAGATGACGATATCAGAATTATTGGAACTGAGTAAACAATTACAAGAATTGTTGGATAAAAAGTTTATAAGGCTAAGTGTGTCACCGTAGGGAGCACCGATATTATTTATCAAGAAGAAAGATGGAACTATACAAATGTGTATAGATTACCGGGACCTGAATTAAGTAACCATCAAGAACAAGTACCCATTCCCCAGAATAGATAACCTCTTTGATCAGTTATAGGGAGCCAGAGTATTTTCAAAAATAAACTTACGATTTGGGTACCATCAATTAAGAGTGGCAACTGAGAACATAGCAAAGACGACATTTCACACCAGGTATGGACATTATGAATTTCTTATTATGTCTTTTGGACTAACGAATGCACCTGCAGTGTTTATGGACCTGATGAATTGAGTGTTCAGACCTTTATTAGACTATTATATGATCGTGTTTATACATAATATTTTGATATACTCTAGAGACTTAGCCGAACACGTTCAACACCTATCCAGGGCACTGAAAATTCTTGGGAAGGCTAAATTGTATACAAAATTCAGTAAGTGTGAATTCTAGTTAGAGCAAATATCGTTTTTGGGTCATATTGTGTCTGAGGATGGAGTATCTGTGGATCTTGCAAAGGTAGAAGCAGTAGTAAAGTGGGAAATGCTGAATATTATAATAGAAGTAAGGAGTTTTTTGGGTATAGTCGAATACTATAGTAGGTTTGTTAAGGGTTTCTCGAGTATTGCAACCCCACTGACTCAGTTAACTAAAAAGAACATAAAATTTCAGTGGGATGAGAGTTGCGAAGCTAGCTTCAGTGAATTTAAGCAGAAACTCACTACAGCGTCGGTATTGACTATTCCGACAGATAAGCAGAGTTATGCAGTGTATAGTGATGCGTCATGTGTGGGGCTGGGTTGTGTACTGATATAACAAGGAAAAGTGATTGCGTATGGGTCAAGACAGTTGAAAGTACATGAGAGAAATTACCCAACACATGATTTGGAGTTAACTGCAGTAATTTATGCACTGAAATTGTGGCGGTATTACTTGTAAGAAGAAACTTTTGAAATATATACCGATCACAAGAGTTTACAGTATTTGTTCACACAAAGAGAGCTAAATATGTGACAGAGACGATTGATGGATTTATTGAAAGACTTTGATTGTAAAATTTGATATCATCCAGAAAAAGGGAATGTGGTGGCCGATGCCCTCAGTAGGAAGAGTACAAGGATGTTGACACATCTAATGGTGTCTGAATTGGACCTACATAAAGCTATGCAGCAAGTAGAGATTTGGGAACAGTGTAGAGGGAAGTCTGTTTTTTTAGTTCGAGGGCTTAGCCAAATTTGATTCAAAGGATTAAGGTAGGGCAATTGA